ATAAGACGTACAAAAAGAATCAATCATTCATTTCAGGTACAATTCATTTTTGGAATTGATTTCTTTGAGTTAGTCTAGTCTTGTTTTCTATGTTTTAAAGTATAAGCATATCACTGATACACTAATGTCTATTGTGGACTTTGGAGAGTGGAGAAACCCATGATATTTCTTTTATCTTTCCAAACAACGTCTTTATCTGCTTAAGTCGGCCACTTTTCTCTCCGGCGGTGGTAGCTCTTTGACCAGCATATGGATTAGTTATAACAAATTTAATATTAGAGATAAGGAAATTGAATATAGAATATGCTGCAGTAGAGGTAGTTTTGCCCAACACTACAAATTAGTACAAAACCAGAACATTAACCTGGAAACTTTAGTCATGTTCATAAATAGCTTCATCAGATCAAGACTTTCATTTGGATGTCATGCATGATGCCAAACCCATACAGAAATGTCTAAACAACAACAGCAACAACTAAAAGTGATATGACATGTAAATCAAAGAAAAAATAATGGCTTAATCAAAATGCTAACATGTCACACTACTTCAAATAAAAGGTTAGGAAGGGAACCCCCATCAATATTGGAAAGAGATATAACAGCTACTGGACATGAAAAATCTATTTCCCTGAAAAATTGTTTTAAGAGAAAGATTTTATAAAATTCAAGAAAATAATGACATAATCAAGATGTTGACATTCCACACCACTTCAAACAAAGGTTAGGAAGGAAACTCCCATCAATACTTGAAATAGTGATAACAGTTACTGGGCTTGAGAAGAGAAAATAATGACATAATCAAGATGTTGACATTCCACACCACTTCAAACAAAAGGTTAGGAAGGAAACCGCCATCAATCCTGGAAAGAGTGATAACAGTTACTGGGCTTGAGAAAATAATGACATAATCAAGATGTTGACATTCCACGCCACTTCAAACAAAAGGTTAGGAAGGAAACCGCTATCAATCCTGGAAAGTGTGATAACAGTTACTTGGCTTGAGAAGAGAAAATAATGACATAATCAAGATGACATTCCACACCACTTCAAACAAAATGTTAGGAAGGAAACCGCCATCAGTACTTGAAAGTGTGATAACAGCTACTGGGCTTGAGAAGTTGACATTCCACACTACTTCAAATAAAAGGTTAGGAAGGAAACCTCCATCAATAATGGAAAGAGTGATAACAGCTACTGTGCTTGAGAAGAGAAAATAATGACATAATCAAGATGTTGACATTCCACACCACTTCAAACAAAAGGTTAGGAAGGAAACCTCAATACTGGAAAGACATATAACAACTACGAGACATAAAAAATGTTGTTTTAAGAGAAAGGTTTTTATAAATTTCAATAAATATTGGCTGCTCAGTCAATGAATTCCAGATATTTCTTTATCGCAGTGTTTCTCAACAGTTTTTACTTCATGTCGCACTAGTAGAAAAGTAAAAATACGAATGCGCACTTTACATTTTTAATAAAGAAAATTCGCGTTGAAATAAAAATTAACATTGCATATATATTGTTAAGATGCGCTGCCTTATAGGGAAATTACTAATATAATCATTACCATTTAGTGACCAATGGTAATAAAGCTATTCATCACATAATCATGCTCTATGAAGGAACAATCTTAAAAACAGATATTTATTCACGGGCACCACCCTCAAAAGAAGCATGGTACAAGGCCAAGTTTAAAGTGTCATCCCTCGCGTTCATGAGACTAGAGGCGCAAATTGCTCATACCCCCAAGCGTTTTAGATTTTTCATCGAAACGTTAATGATACAGGGTTGCTCAAACTTTAGGTTATAATTAAAATTGATCTAATTTAATACATATCAATGAATATTTTTTAAATGCCATGTCTGTTCAAGCTGTATACGATCATGGCTCTCCACAGATACCATTTCTATATTATCTGCGAATTGCCATGACACGAGTTAGAATTCAAAGATTTCCTTCTCTTAGGTTGCGTCTAAAGAGCTCTGACTATTCTGTTATTTGGCCAATAACTGTTGGGAGGAGGTTGCTAAGGACAATTATGCGAAACTGAACGCAAGAGGCCAGGCTTGGATTTGAACTCGGCCCGCCGTTTTCACTTTCCAAGCCGATAACCGTTCAACTACCAGCACAAAGATAATACGAGATATTAACTTTTCGCCTTGCGCTGCAAGAACGATGCATCTCTAGAACAAACACGTGGCTAAAAATGGATTCTATATGCTGATTGAGAGCGACACACCAAAGCACATTCCATGGCCAAATCTGCCAAAACAGAAGGTCATTGTAAATGGGAGGAAGCCGACAAGGAGTAACTCTAGCCCGCTCCCGAAAAAGAAGAATTGATTGAAGAGACGCCACCCTAAGCATCAAGCACAACTATATAATAAATACGAATATCACTGTGTCAGTGTGTCACATTCTTTCAATTTTACTCCTAGAGGCCGTGGCCCAACATATACCATTTTGGAATCAGACGGACTCCGTGACCGTGAGCAAATTAAAAACATTCCAGGCCGTGACCGGGGCCGCAATTCTGAAATTTTGGAGTCCCAAGTTTTCATTATAGCGATTGTTCTTGGATCTGCTATATTGACTTCTATTGATAAAAACGATTAAAGGGACACAACTCTCTAACTTTCAATAACTCATCTTCAAATGAAAAAATTACAGTGTTTCAAAATAAAGTTGTCCGTGTTTTCAACTCTTACTCCTAGAGGTCGTCGCCCAACATATCATATCATTTTGGAATCAGGCCGGCTCCGTGAGCAATTTAAAAACATTCTGGTTCGAATCCAGACCCGCAATCCTGAAATTTTAAATTCCCAACTTTCCATTACTGCGATTTTTTCGGCCAATTTTTACGTGATTTTTTGCGACGAATTTTTGTGCAATAATTTTTTTTATAACTTGGAAATAAATTTGGGAATAATCGAAATTAATTGCCAGCAAAAGTCAACCATGTAAGAAAAATAATTGTTTGTACAGAAAGTAAGGACCTACATACATCAATTTGTCTTTAAATTAAGTGGCTGCAGAAGAATTATCGTTAAACTTTTAAAAGGTAAGCTTAAATATTAATGCAATACTTAAATGCAGTGATCCATTTTGAGTTCTTCTGTAGCTTACTGTTTCCTATCACATCTACTTCTCCCTACCTATTATGATGAAGGCTCAATCAAGTACCCTCCAAAGGAGCTAGCTTAAGTGCCACCCGATAGAGCTGCTTTTAAGCTAGTATGACATATTTACCTTCATGTTATGTTTACTTGTAACTTAATATATATCATATTATCTTCATGTCATATATAATTGCAAAATCCAGCAAAAGTCACCCATGAAATAAAAATAATTGTTTGTAGGGAGAGTAAGGACCTACGTACATCAAATTGTCTATACATTAAGTGGTGGCAGAAGAATTATCGTTCAACTTTTAAAAGGTAAGCTTAAATACTTAAATGCAGTGATCCATTTTGAGTTCTTCTGTAGTTTATTGTTGTCTATTGAATCCACCCCCCCCCAACCTATTGTGATGAAGGCCAAATCCAGAACCCTTCACAGGGTCTAGTTTAAATGCAGTCAGATACGGCGATTTTTAAGCTAGTTATAGTTATATTTAACAACACTTAACATCAAGAAGAGACAGTTGAAATTCCTATGACACATAATGAGGAAAGAGGGCTTGGAAAATTCAATACCAACAGGCAAGAGGGACAGAGGAAAATAACGTGTAACCTACCGAGAGAGCTTGAGTAAATGAATCACGGATCAGGGTTTAGAATAAATAACAAAACGACAAAATTTATTAACAGCCATAAATGACAGGAAATTGTGAAGAGCCATGATCGCCTACGTCCTTAAGGGGCACAACACATAGAACAAGAAGAATAGATTGTCAACTAAGTTTTATCATCGAAGAGAGGTAGGACAGAGAAAAAAGATTTAGGAGAAATAATAAAAAGACAAAATATATTAAGTGCTTCAAAGGAGAGGAAATTGTGGAGAGCCATGACCGCCTACGTTCTGAAGGTACACTGCATATAGAGGAAGAAGAATGAGCTTGAGTAAATCAATGGCGGAACAGGGTTTGGAAGAAATAACAAAAAGACAAAATTTATTAAGAACTACAAAGGAGAGGAAATTGTGGAGAGCCATGATCGCCTACGCCCTGAAGTCATCCTGCATATAGAGGAAGAAGAATGAGATTGAGTACATCGATGACGGAACAGGGTTTGGGAGAAATAACAAACAGACAAAAATTTATTAAGGATTATCATCATTTATTATTTATAAAGGACAGGAAATTGTGGAGAGCCATGATCGCCTAAGTCCTGAAGGGACACTTCCCCAACAAGAAGAAACAGAAAAACTACGTATATATGACGAACTAAACAGATGTTGATTTGTTTATAATCCGCCGGGAAAACAATTTTATTCGAATTAAGGATGGCATAGAGGAAATTGTAAGCCGGTTTTAAAGCAGTGTTCCTCATAGCAACAACGGATTAACGAACGTAGAGTCAGTCTCGCGGAAAATTCGGTCTACAGCGCAATTCAGAATAATTGCCTACCTAAATGGAATAGATTTATTTCTTTATTTTATATCCTGCCAGCATTGATATAAGCCAGATTATTAGCGAAATCCCTTGGTTGCTGGACAGCACTTAACCATTGCATTTAAAGCGATACTTCCCGGTGTCAACAATTTCTATCAAAGCAGGTATTACTTCACAATAGCAAAGTTAAAAACGACCTTTTCTTAAATTCTGTATTCTATTTACGCAATCATCGAGTTGTTGGCCGTAGAATAAATTGGGTAATTTAATTCGTGGAGTGGTGTTTATTGAGGGTGCTTCAGCACGCGCATGCGTGGCAAATCCAAATATGGAGATGTATGCAGAATCACAGAGAGCGTTGTGATCCTAAGGAAAGAAAGGAAACAAGATGGCTCAAAGCAGTCGGAAGTGGCGGGGTTTTGTACATCAGAAAGTAACGGGCACTAATAGATAGATAGATAGATAGATAGATAGATAGATAGATAGATGAATAGATGTATAGATGATAGATATAGTACTAGATAGATAGATAGATAGATAGATAGATAGATAGATAGATAGATAGATAGATATGGACTGACTGAGATAGATAGATAGATATGGACTGACTGAGATAGATAGATAGATAGATAGATAGATAGATAGATAGATAGATATATGTGAACAGACTGAGATAGATAGATAGATTTACTAATGATCTTAATTACAAGTTCAGTTATTAAAATGTATGATTTGTAGCCTGATTGTCGCTTCTATCATAAAATACAGACCCAGTTTTTATACTTATACTAATATTTCAAGAATGAAATGAAAATAATGGGTACTAATAGATAGATAGATAGATAGATAGATATGAACCGGCTGCGATAGATAGATAGATAGATATGAACAGACTGAGATAGATAGATATGAACAGACTTAGATAGATAGATAGATCGATAGATAGATAGATAGATATGGACAGACTGAGATAGATAGATAGATAGATAGATAGATAGATAGATATGAACAGACTGAGATAGATAGATAGATAGATAGATAGATAGATAGATAGATAGATAGATATGAACCGGCTGCGATAGATAGATAGATAGATAGATAGATGATATGAACAGACTGAGATAGATAGATATGAACAGACTTAGATAGATAGATGAATAGATGGATAGATAGATAGATGAATATGAACAGACTGAGATAGATGGATGGATGGATGGATGGATGGATAGATAGATGAATATGGACAGACTGAGATAGATAGATAGATAGATAGATGGATGAATAGATAGATGAATGGATGTATGAACAGACTGAGATAGATGGATGGATGGATAGATGGATAGATGGATGCATAGATAGATGATGATGGATATGAACAGACTGAGATAGATGGATGGATGGATGGATAGATAGATAGATGGATGGATGGATATGAACCGGCTGCGATGATAGATGGATAGATGGATATGAACAGACTGAGATAGATGGATGGTGAACAGACTTAGATGGATAGATAGATGGATGGATGATGTGGACAGACTGAGATAGATAGATGGATGGATAGATGGATGGATAGATAGATAGATGGATGGATGATGTGGACAGACTGAGATAGATAGATAGATAGATAGATGATAGATAGATAGATGGATGGATATGAACAGACTTAGATAGATAGATAGATAGATAAATAGATAGATAGATAGATAGATATGGACAGACTGAGATAGATAGATAGATAGATAGATAGATAGATTTACTAATGATCTTAATTACTAGTTCAGTTATTAAAATGTATGATTTGTAGCCTGATTGTCGCTTCTATCATAAAATACAGACCCAGTTTTTTTACTTAACTTATACTAACATTTCAAGAATGAAATGAAAATAATTTATTAAGAACAATCAAACACTTGCGAAGGATATCCTGTAAAAAAGATCAGGGGGGTAGTTTAGTATATCAATGCGTGATGCATGCAAGAGGTTGGGGCGCAGGCAGACATTTCTAGACAAGAGGTGCGGTTATACAGGGAGGGTGCGTTTATACAGTTGCAGCCATGTACCCAAGGGCAACCCCGGGTAACTCGGCTAGAAATCTATAAATCTAGAAGGGATATTCAAAAACAATCACCTCACAATCAACACGCGCTAAACGTCTTTTTCATATCATAAATATTCGCCAGTAGTTTCATTTTATGTACCGCAGGACGTAGGCGATCATGGCTCTCCACTCCTCCCTATCCTTTGTGGCTCTCAATCTGTTCCGTCCTTCGGCCACCTTTTCCAGACCACGTTCTGTCATCCACTTGCTTAAACCAGCCAGGTTATGTCATGCGTTGTTTTCCCTTGTCCCTTTCCTTCTATCCGCCCTGTGAGTATCAGATTCTCCAAGCCCGCCTTTCACATTACGTGTCCTAGAAACTTCACCTGCCTTATTCCTGATGTTAAGTATAAGCTTCCTCCTTGTTTGCATCCTCTCCAAAACCTCATCGTTGATCACACGCTCGGTCCATGATATCCTCAGCATCCTTCTGTAGAACCACATCTCCGTCGCCTCGAATCTCTTCTTCATCTTTGAGGAGACCGTCCAACATTCGCTGACGTAAAGGAAGACTAATGTCACGTAAGAGCTCAATACTCTTTTCTTTGTTACCAAAGAAATCCTCCTGTCTCGTAATACTCGCTCCAGCTTTTGGAATGCGTCCTTGGCCATCCCGATACGTCTACGGATCTCAGTGTCGCACTTAGCCTCCTCTCTCAAAATGCTTCCCAGATATTTAAACCTTCCGCGTCTGCTTGATTTTGACCAGCAAATCGCGTTTCGGGCTCGTCCTTTTTACTACTAACCATGCATTCTGTCTTGTAGTTTATGCTTAGTCCTTTCTTCTCGCTCTCCTTCCTGTAGGAGGTTTTGTAAATTATTTTCCATCAGTACTGTTTCATCTGTGTATCTATATTATTAAGATTGTGGCCGCCAATGCTGTATCCCTGTAGGATTTCCAATTCTCTCAGAATTGCCTCGCTGTATAGGTTGAACAGGTCTGGTGAGAAGACGTATCCTTGCCTTACGCCCCTTTCTATTTTTGAATATTCGCTGAACTCATTCTCTATGCCGTTTGCTGTCAGTAGAGGTTCTTGATTATTCTGATATCTTTCCCGAATATATCAAGATTGCTAAGCAGTTCCAACAAATCCTTGTGGCGTATTTTGTCGAAGGCCTTGGCGTAGTCTATGAAACATGGGTTAGGGTTAGCATTAATGTTAATTTAAGGTTAGGTTTAGCGTTGGGGTTAGAGCGAGGTTTGATTTTTGTGGTTAGGTTTAGGTTTGGGTTTAGGTTTAGGTTTGGGGATAGGGTAAGTGTTAGGCTTAGGGTTGGTGTTTCGTTTAAGGTTAGGGTTATGTTTGTGGTTAGGGTTAATATTTAGGTGTAGGGTTAGGGCTGTGGTTAATTTTAGGGTCAGGTCCATGGTTGGGGTTTATGTTATGTTTGTAGTTAGTTTTGGTGTTAGATTTAAGTTTAGGGTTCGAATTAATGTTTGTGTAAGAGTTTGTGTTAGTGTTATGTTAGTGTTTGTGTTAGGTTTAGTGTTAGGGTTAGTATTTGTGTTAGTGTTTGTGTTAGGGTTAGTATTTGTGTTAGTGTATGTTTTAATGTTAGGGTTAGTGTTTGTGTTAGTGTTTGCGTTAGTGCTAGGGTTAGTGTTTGTGTTAGTGTTAGGGTTAGGGTAGGTTTAGTGTTTGTGTTAGGGTTAGTGTTTGTGGTAGTGTTAGGGTTTGTGTTAGTGTTAGAGTTAGTGTTTGTGTTAGGGTTAGTGTTTGTGTTAGTGTTTGTGTTAGGGTTAGTGTTTGTGTTAGTGTTTGTTTTAGTGTTAGGGTTAGTGTTTGTGTTAGTGTTTGTGGTAGTGTTAGGGTTAGTGTTTGTGTTAGTGCTAGGGTTTGTGTTAGTGTTAGGGTTAGTGTTAACGTTAGTGTTTGTGTTAGTGTTAGGGTTAGTGTTTGTGTTAGTGTTTATGGTAGTGTTATGGTTAGTGTTTGTGTTAGTGTTTGTGTTAGTGTTAGTGTTTGTGTTAGTGTTTGTGGTAGTGTTAGGGTTAATGTTTGCGTTAGTGTTTGTGGTAGTGTTAGGGTTAGTGTTTGTGTTACTGTTTTGTTGGGTTACTGTTTGTGTTAGTGTTTGTGTTAGTGTTAGTATTTGTGTTAGTGTATGTTTTAAAGTTAGGGTTAGTGTTTGTGTTAGTGTTTGCGTAAGTGCTAGGGTTAGTGTTTGTGTTAGTGTTAGGGTTAGGGTAGGTTTAGTGTTTGTGTTAGGGTTAGTGTTTGTGGCAGTGTTAGGGTTTGTGTTAGTGTTAGGGTTAGTGTTAACCTTAGTGTTTGTGTTAGGGTTAGTGTTTGTGTTAGTGTTTGTGTTAGGGTTAGTGTTTGTGTTAGTGTTTGTTTTAGTGTTAGGGTTAGTGTTTGTGTTAGTGTTTGTGGTAGTGTTAGGGTTAGTGTTTGTGTTAGTGCTAGGGTTTGTGTTAGTGTTAGGGATAGTGTTAACGTTAGTGTTTGTGTTAGTGTTAGGGTTAGTGTTTGTGTTAGTGTTTGTGTTAGGGTTAGTGTTTGTGTTAGTGTTTGTGGTAGTGTTAGGGTTAGTGTTTGTGTTAGTGTTTGTGGTAGTGTTAGGGTTAATGTTTGCGTTAGTGTTTGTGGTAGTGTTAGGGTTAGTGTTTGTGTTACTGTTTTTGTTAGGGTTACTGTTTGTGTTAGTGTTTGTGTTAGTGTTAGTATTTGTGTTAGTGTATGTTTTAAAGTTAGGGTTAGTGTTTGTGTTAGTGTTTGCGTAAGTGCTAGGGTTAGTGTTTGTGTTAGTGTTAGGGTTAGGGTAGGTTTAGTGTTTGTGTTAGGGTTAGTGTTTGTGGCAGTGTTAGGGTTTGTGTTAGTGTTAGGGTTAGTGTTAACGTTAGTGTTTGTGTTAGTGTTAGGGTTAGTGTTTGTGTTAGTGTTTGTGTTAGGGTTAGTGTTAGGGTTAGTTTTTGTGGTAATGTTAGGGTTAGTGTTTGCGTTAGTGTTTGTGTTGGGGTTAGTGTTTGTGTTAGTGTTTGTGGTAGTGTTAGGGTTAGTGTTTGTGTTTGTCGTAGTGTTAGAGTTAGTGTTTGTGTTAGTGTTAGGGTTTGCGTTAGCGTTAGGGTTAGTGTTAACGTTAGTGTTTGTGTTAGTGTTAGGGTTAGTGTTTGTGTTACTGTTTGTGTTAGGGTTAGTGTTTGTGGTAGTGTTAGGGTTAGTGTTTGTGTTAGTGTTTTTTGTATTTTTAGGGTTAGTGTTTGTGTTAGTGTTTGTGGTAGTGTTAGGGTTAATGTTTGTGTTAGTGTTAGGGTTTGTGTTAGTGTTAGCGTTAATGTTAACGTTAGTGTTTGTGTTAGTGTTAGGGTTAGTGTTTGTGTTAGTGTTTGTGTTAGGTTTAGTGTTTGTGTTAGTGTTTGTGGTAGTGTTAGGGTTAGTGTTTGTGTTAGTGTTTGTGGTAGTGTTAGGGTTAGTGTTTGTGTTAGTGTTAGGGTTTGTGTTAGTGTTAGGGTTAGTGTTAACGTTAGTGTTTGTGTTAGTGTTAGGGTTAGTGTTAACGTTAGTGTTTGTGTTAGTGTTAGAGTTAGTGTTAACGTTACTGTTTGTGTTAGTGTTAGGGTTAGTGTTTGTGTTAGTGTTTGTGGTAGTGTTAGGGTTAGTGTTGATGTGAGTGTTTTAACGTATTTCTTACTTTCAACAGTTTGCAAATATCATTCCATACTAGAAAATTAATCCTAGATATCACACTATATTAGAAAATGGGTGGCATTTATCATACCCTAGAATCTTTGTGAGAAATTTTAAGAGTATACCTGTCCAAAATTCTACCTTGCAAATAATATATTCTAAAAAGCGTCAAGCTCAAATATCTTATTAAATGTATAAATTCACTTTCATCAAATGTTTCGATTTTATTACAATTCTAATCAATAAACATTGCGAAGGTAGCTAGGGTTAGGGTCAAGGGTTAGAGTCAAGGGTCAAGGATTAAGGTCAATGTAACATTAACCCTAACCCTGCCGAGATTTAGGTATATGCCTGTCCAAAATTCCACCTTCAAAGAAGATATTCTAAACAAAAACGCCATGCTTAGAGGGCTCATTAAATGTTAAATTATGTTGTATAGCTGGACATTGGTATTCGAGGATACTAGTCTATTAGAACGGCTATCCAGTCCCTATGCTCAGGCGCATTTGTGTTTATTCAACTTTATTTATAATATAATTATTTAGTATGTATATTTATACTGCAACTAAGCTGAGCAGACCTTAGCTACAGTTTCTGGGAAAGAGCCTGTTATCTACCGAGATCAACAATTTGAACAAGGCCAGATTACTTTTGACTTCGTGCTAGCATAGCTATCGACGGCCCCCAAGGGCTTCGTCTACCCAATTTCACTAACAAGGCTTAGGGTATGGTTTGCAGGCACTTCTCAAAGGTGCCGCACGCTGAGATCAACCCCGCCTTCCTGACAAATCGATCATGGTGAGATTCGAACCCGGGTCTCATGGTCAACATGCGAAAGTTCTAACCAATCGGCCACGTGCCCATGAAGTGTCAAATTATAATAAATTATAATAAACAGAAAAATAAATAAATATTAGTTTTTTTTAGAAATTTTATTATCATTTTTTTTTACAAAAGTTAAATATTATTTTGTTTATTTTGTGCTAATCTCTATCTATAAAAGGCAGGATGTGTGTGTGTGTGTGTGTGTGTGTGTGTGTGTGTGTGTGTGTGTGTGTGTGTGTGTGTGTGTGTGTGTGTGTGTGTGACAAATGCACGGCCGCAATTTTCGACGGATTTGAACCAAAATTTATATGCACATGCTCCAAGTGAGCGGAAGGCCAAGACCGACGTTGCATTTCCCAACTCCCATCGATAGTGGAAATAATCTACTTTTTCATGCTTCTACGGCAGTTTTCATGTAGTTTGCGGCCATTTTCTACTGGTCAGAGTGAGAGCCAATAGCTGACTGCCACGAATAGGCAGGAAGATTCTATTGGCCAGCGTGAGAGGCCAGCTGACTGACACGAATGTTATCTAGTATGCCAAAAAAAATCGATAGCTGCATTCGTCACAAATGGGAAAAATCTAAATCTGCATGGCACTTTACTCCAATTAGCTCATTCGCTTGCTTAAACTCAACGTTGATTCTGATTCCACAGAACTGGGTTGGGTGTGAAAAAGTATTTGTTGTTAACATTCTTTTCTCATTCGATTTTTCCAGTTACGAGTCCTTTTTTAAAGCTGATCGTTTTGTGTTCATTTTCTTTAGTTCTTTTTTCGTAACAGATTTAATGTTTAGTATGGAGCTTCGAAAAAATTCGCAGTGTGAGATAGGCAAGAAGTAAGGTATGTAGCAACACCAGCACAGCAAAGGGCACTCCTTTAAAGGCAAGGAAGGGCAAAAATATTTTAAGTCAAGTGATAGCGATTGCTGTATGAGTCGTACGATTTTTGAATTAAGCACGGGCAACGCCGGGTCATGCTGCTAGTAAATCATAAAATGTATACTCTTATTTTGAACCTTTTTTATATCATCTGAATTCAAGTGTGCCGCAGAAATTTAACTGTAGATTCAAATGCAACGTAAGATTTGAAAAAATTGGTTGAAAATCATTTCCCTAGATCAGAGGTCATCAAGACTTTTTCGACCAGTGACCCCTTTTTGTTTCTTTTCCTTCTCCAACGACCACCATTTAAAATACCTTTGGCCCTTAAATCTCGTACTGATGTTGGCAATTAAAATATAAACTAAAATGTATGAACAGTTAAATAATTTGGATCAGGTTCAAAATCCTTTCCAGTGTCATCAGGTTAGGAATTTCCCTAAAAAATATATTTAAGATAATATATTAACTAACCCAAATGAACCAAGCAATTACTATATTAAGTGCACCAAGCCTAAATACAGTCGAGTCTACTGAACAGAAATGCATAACCGCTACTAATATGCAACTGCACAACGCTTTTTTTTTAAGCATTTCACCCCAAGCAAGGCGGGAAGCCACTAGGACACAAGGGGTTACAGAAAATTTAGAGCAAGATCAGATAGGAGTGATAGAAGAAAGGATGAGAAGAAGGATAGTGGATAGATCAAGGCAACTGGAGATGTCGATTGATATTACACTTGAATAGCTGGAGATTATAGCTCACAGGGAAACAGGAGAAGGGAAGGGAGTTCCACAGGCGAGAGGTGCGGGACATGAAGCTATTAGAGTAGAAGAGACGGCTATATTTAGGAGTTTCGAGAGTGAAGGGGTGAGAGCGGGATGCCAGCCTCGTAAGGCGCTTGAACTCATGACGTCTGGGAACCAGCAAATGCAGCTCCTCGGAGCAATTTCCATGAAAGTATTTGTAGAACAGACAGAGGGAGGCGACGGGGCGTCTGTGAGAAAGTGACTGTAGACGAGACGCCAGGGCAGGGCCAACCACATTGCATATCCGCCTCTGGAGCCTATCAAGAACCCCGAGGCAAACAGAAGGTGCTCCAGACCATATATGGCAGCAATACTCCATGCAAGGGCGAATTGTTGATTTACTGATTAAATGAAATAAACAAATATTGCATCATACTTGATGCAATCCAACCAATCAGACCAAATGATCTTTATAAACATAAACTCTATTTTACAGTTAGAGATTGAAAAAAATGTGATTGTTATCTAAAAATTAAAAAACATCAAGCAATGCTCAATCCAGCAGTAAATAAGTTTCATTAAAATAAGTTAAAAGCTACTTGGATAAATGTAAGGCTTTTGATTCTGTCGATGGTCGAGATCAGTGCCTTTCTTTCATCGGCACCAAAGAATACAATATACATGATGTACACTAACTAAAATTTAGCTTCAGTGTCATTCACACAATGACACTCATTCGACCTCTTGACTATTATCGACCACGTTACCTGACCTAGATAAAAGTTATATAGTTAATACAAAGTTAGTAAACATAGTATTTCATCATCATCATCAATCTCATGACCGGGTGTCTTCGTAGGGTCCATTCACTTATCTGGGTTCATTCAATTGGAAAGAAAATCCTTATTATCAAGTTGGAAAATTACAGACTTACACAAGGAAATAGAAGTAGATAAGGAGAGGCAGGGCCTGTCTGTTAAAAAGTATAACAAAACATCATTTGTTGATCCAAAATATTGAACCTATGTCATTATCGGGTGTGGTAGGAATCATGACAGAAAGAAAAACAGGCCAAGTATACCACTGCTACCAATAAGTTAAAAGCTACTTGGATAGATGCTAGGGCTTTTGATTCTATTGATAAGCCGAATTCAGTTTGGTTTGGTTTACTTTGTTTTACGGGATATCAACCTCAATGTGTGATTTAATACCGACAAGATTTCTAGGGTTGGTTCGTATGAATAAAATCTATCAGGTCATCCCATAAGTTCTGTCCGAATTTTGAATAAAGAAAACAAGTGACCAAATGTTACATTTAATTACAGATTCAATCAACAATGTATTTTCCCTGATTATCTATGACTTCCTTCCATCTATTAACAAGCTTACTAATTCCATTACTGTAAACTTCTTTTGGCTTTGATTCGAACAACTCACAAATGTCAGTTTTAACCTCTTCCTGTGTTACAAAAGCTGTTTCTTCCAAATGATTCTGTAAGCTACGAAACAAATGGTAGTCTGAAGGAGCAAGATCGGGAGAATAAGGTGGATGAGGAATTTTCTCCCAACCAAGTTCTTCGATCTTTTGTGACGTGATTCTTGCAGTGTTGGTTTGCGCATTGTCCTGATGAAACATCACCTCTTTTTCGATTCACAAGAGCAGGTCTTTTTTCCCTCAAAGCTTGGTTCAAACGCTCTAATTGCTGACAGTATATTTGAGCATTAATTGTTGCATTAGGTGGTAAGAATTCAAAGAGGATTATTCCTTGGCGATCCCACCAGATTGAAAGAAGAACCTTTTGCCCATGAAGTGCTCTTCTTGGCTGTTGCTGGGGTCCTTACCATTTACAACGCTTAACATTTCGATAAAAGATCCATTTTTCGTCGCCAGTCACAAGTCTATCCAAAAAAGGTGAAACAAGTTGGCGAGAATGGAGAGAAGAGCAGATGTCAACTCGGGATTTGAGGTTGTTTTCAGACAATTCGTGAGGCACCCATTTTCCAAGTTTATGAACTTTTCCAAGTTGTTGAAGATGACGATGAACAGTTGTATGGTTTGAACTGAGAACCACTGCCAATTCCTCAACTGATAAAGCAGGATTTGCTTCAAGGGCTGCTTCAAGAAGCTTTTCATCAAACTCAATTGGACGTCCGGTTCGATCTTCATCTTCAAGGGTGAAATCTCCACCTCTGAATTTTGCAAACCATCTTCTGCAAGTTCTTTCATTCACACATTCCTCTCCATAAACTGAGTGAATATTTCTAGCCTCTTCGGCTGCTGAGTTTCCTTTCTTGAACTCATAAAGCATTATGTGCCTCAAATTATTCTTGGGTACTTCCATGTTAGCTAGGTTTTAATCAAACAAAATTTAATTTTATTGTTCTCTGAAATAAAATTTGATCAGTTTAAATGCATCTAAACATAAAAATAATGTTCAGCTCCATTAGACATTATAAAATACTCTTTAAATTTCGTTCATTTTAACAAAAAGTTCAAATTCGGACAGAACTTATGGGATGACCTGATATATTAATATTTTTTTAAAAATATATTACTGGTAATATTTTTACTTTCATTTTTGTTCTCTTTCAAAAATGTATTACTGATAATTTTTTCCAAAGGTGTATTGCTGGCAATATGTTTTCTTTTTTTACAAAAAATGTATTGCTTGTAATATTTTGTTTGGGGGCGGCGGGGGGTCTTGTTCTTTTTTTATTTGTTTTGTTTGTTTTTTTCCCCAAAAAATAATTGCTGGTAATTTTTTTTTTTCCAAAAATATATTACTGGTATTTTTACTATAAAGATCTATTTTTATACTTTTATTGTGTTTTGATCCCACTTTGTGGTTCAACTATTTGCCCATAGTTGGGACCCTAACAGGTGCTACCACCTCGGGTCAGGGTGAACATGGGAACAACAGCAATTAAGAGGCGGTTCCACGCTCATCAAAACCTCCCGATCTCTCATATTTCAGGGTGACTTTATCAAAAATGAACTCTCGATCAACAGCTTATCGGACCAGCGCTCTTACCACTACGCTGGAGAAAATATATCATTCACATTCATTTAGAATTTAAAGAAACATATTTAAAAAGAAAGAAAGAAAGAAAGAAAGAAAGAAAGAAAGAAAGAAAGAAATATCCTCTCGTAATGGCGTTTATAAATCCGTTTGTTTTCGTCAGTTAATGCATTTACTAGCTAACTCTGCGTGAGTCTCCCAACGATAGGCGGAGTAACTTGACTTGAGTGGGTGGAGCATATCTTTATGAAAGTAAATATATATCCTGACGTTCAGCACACGGAGAGGAATTTAGCATCAAGGATGATATCGTGACAATCGATTCAAAATATGAATCGCTGAAATAGATTTTTTTTCTTCTTCGAAAAGAAAAGAGCTTTATATATATATATTTTTTAATTTAATACAACAAAAGAGGATTCCATTAAAGCAGAAGGAAACGCTTTTTATTCATTTTGGCTACTTTATAACAACAATAGTAACGAGCATGACAACAATAATATCAACAACAACAGCACCAATAATAATAATCATAATAATCATAATAATAATAATTATTATTATTATTATTATTATTATTATTATTATTTTCTTTGATTTCTGGTCTTTGCTCATTTTTTCGGGTCCCAATCAGAGACCTAAGTTTAGAAATAGCATTATGATATTTTCAACTGAGCATTTTTCGTAAAAAAAAACCAAAGATCACAATTATTATTATTATTATTATTATTATTATTATTATTATTATTATTATTTCCTTTGGTTTCTGGTATATAAATATTTCTATCCGGGTCCCAATCAGAGACCTAAGTTCAGAAATAGCATTATGATATTTTCAACTGAGCATATTTGGTAAAAAATAACCTAAGATCACAATTATTATTATTATTATTATTATTATTATTATTATTATTATTATTATTTCCATTGATTTCTGGTACATAAATATTTCTTTCCGGGTCCCAATCAGAGACCTAAATTCAGAAATAGCATTATGATATTTTCAACTGAGAATTTTTGGTAAAAAAAAATCTAAGATCACAATTATTATTATTATTATTATTATTATTATTATTATTATTTACTTTGATTTCTGTTTCGTCTTCTTCTTCTTATCGTCATCTTTTTCTTCATTTTTCTTCTTCCTGTTCTTTTTCTTTTTCATTTTCTTCTTCTTCTTCTTCTTTTCACGTGTCTTCATAGGCACACGATCATATCAAGCTGAAAACACCGGCTCTCGCTAGGTCACCGAAATTAAGCAGTGTCAAGCGCCGTCCTTACTTAGATGGGGTTCCACTTGGGAAGACCGGTTAATGTAACCTACCTCCTATAATACAGAATATTAAATAATCCACATAGAGTTGATAAACCGTAAAAAAAAACAAGTCAATAAATCCCCCACTTTACGTTTACAACTGTATATCCTGCATTAATAGGAGTTCTCTATCTCGTCGACTCACCCCATAACACCTTTCAAGAAAAACATTTGCAGTGTCAAGCAACGCAGACTTCTTAAGCAATGGGATGCTAATTTCCATTCCGATTTTCTCAATGTAGGACTTTAGGTTCAGTGGTATAAATCCCAGCGCCCCAAAAATAACTTAATATACTATTATCATTTGTCTACAGTTGCGGCCCAAATGTTCAGAACGGCATTGTTTTCGTTAGAAAAGTAGGTATAAGTTTTTATCAAAGTCGTTTTATATTCTATAATTTTCACAGACAATAAATACGATATTAATTGTTATTGTCTGAGATTTTGGTGTAATTTGAGAGGATAATACAAAAGTTATGGATGATTTAGTGATTTACTGCAAAACCCATGGCGGCCAAAATGATCAAAACGGTTGCTTTTACTCCGTGTTTTAGTCTATTTAACCGGCGAACTCTATTTTTTTTAATTTGTTTACGTGGCGGTTCGTTTACTAAACATTAGTAAGAATATCTGCAGTGTACTTTGTTAATATAATGCCACTTACTCCCTTACCAATTCGTCAGCAGATTATTAAGCTTCGAAAGAAGGATAATTTAAGTATTGGGTCTATTGCAAAGATTGTTAAAAAGTCAAAAAGTGTTGTTCACGGTATTCTTAAGGTCTACGATGATTGTGGTTTGTCTGAAGCAAGAAAGTCTACAGGTAGGCCAAGAAAAACGACCAAGAGAGAAGATCGTGCTATGGTAAAGTTGGTTAAAAAGGACAGATTTAAAACTGCTGCTGCTCTTTCTCGGGAAATGAGCATTGTACTGAAGAAAACTTTATCTCGAAAAACTGCGTGTCGTCGTTTAGTTGAACATGACCTAGAAGCAAGAGCACCTGCAGTGAAGCCACTGATCAGCTCCAAGAATAAAAAGTGTCGTTTTACCTTTGCAACCGAACATGTGTTGTGGCCTCAAGAAAAATGGCAAACGGTGCATTTCAGTGATGAATCTAAGTTTATATTATTTGGCTCAGATGGGAAAATGTACGTTCGTCAAAAAGTAGGTGAAAAATTGTCGCCTAAATTCCTTACGACTAGTGTTAAATTCGTTGAAGTGTCATGGTTTTTGGGGATGATATCTGGAGATGGTGTGGGCCCTTTGGTGCGATTACATGGAAAGGTAAATGCAGGAGTTTATAAACAACTTGTAAAAGATTATGTCTTGCCTGTGCTGAGAAATTCAACTAAGCGACCATCCATATTCATTCAGGATAATGTCCCCTGTCACAAGGCTAAATGTGGTCATGAACTTCCTCAAGGCTGAAAAGGTTATTGTCATGGATTGGCCTCCTCAAAGCCCAGATCTCAATCCTATTGAAAATGTGTGGAATATTCTAGGAGAACTTTCGAAAGCCAGAAATCCTAAAACAACCGAACAATTATGGAATCCCCTTCAGGAAGGATGGAATAAGATCACCGAGCAAGAAATTGAAAATTTAATTTCCTCATGCAGTCGAAGATGTCAAAGTGTAATTGAAACTAAAGGGTTTCACACTAAATATTAAATAATTCCAGTATTCTCTGTCATTTTTGATTATTTGGTTATTTTTTCAACCGTTCTGGTAATTTTGGCCGCCATGGGTTTTGCAGTAAATCACTAAATCACGCATAACTTTTGTATTATCCTCTCAAATTACACCAAAATCTCAGACAATAACAATTAATATCGTATTTATTGTCTGTGAAAATTATAGAATAGAAAACAACTTTGATAAAAACTTATACCTACTTTTCTGACGAAAACAATGGCCGTTCTGAAGATTTTGGCCACAACTGTATATTACGTTTCCTGCTTTGTATCCTGAAGCACCGGGTCCAAACTATGCTCCTTAGGCCCTAAAGGAGAATTGTCATTTAATTGATGGCACTTTTCTTAATATATAGGATGTTCCTAATAGGGCGATCTTCTGGGCGACTTGTATGTTGATGTTACCTGGGACACTGTTAGTAAAATTGTCCATTCCTTTTCTCACGAGGTCCAGTGATCCGATTACTATTCGTAGTTTCAGTATTCATTCCCCAAATCCTGTTAATCTTGATCTCCAGGTCCTCGTATTTGGACAATTTCTCGATAATAGTGTTTCTCTCGGATGGCATTGCTATGCCAGTAAGCATACGCTTTCTGAATTTCTTCTCTTTTATGATAATATCAGGTCTGTTGGCCTTTATTTCCCTGTCAGTTTGAAATGGAATGTCTCAGAGGATAGTTACATCGTTATTTTGGGTAACTGTGTCTAGTTGGTACTCATACCATCTCTCAGTGGTTTCGATTTTGTGCTTCTTACATATCTTCCAGTGTACATATGTCGTTTCCTTGTTATGTCTATGGATATATGCTTTTTTTATAATTTATTTATTTATTTATTATTATTATTATTATTATTATTATTTCCTTTGATTTCTGCTGTAAACTTATTTTCCCTCCGGGTCCCAACTAGAGACCTAAGGTTAGAAATGGCTTCATGACATTTATTATTATTATTATTATTATTATTATTATTTCCTTTGATTTCTGTTTTATGCACATTTCATTCTGAATCCCAACAAGAGACTAAGTTCAGAAATGGCATTACGATATTTATTATTATTATTATTATTATTATTATTATTATTATTATTATTATAAAAAGAAAGTAAACATAAATACCTTCTCAGAAAAAATGGTAGCGTCATAAGATAAAAATATGTTTAAGAATTTGAGAAAATATGGTTAAAATAAGGTAGGAATTATATGAACTCTATTTGACCAAATTCGTTCGTTAAGCAATTCTTAACATTGTCAGTGTAGGTAATTTTCACCCTGTACAAGGCCCGGGAGCCACTCGATGTAGAGGTTTACAAAGTTAGAGGCATAGTTTATGCGGATATGTAGGGAAGATAACGGTTAAACCTAGACTTGAACAGGTTAAGAATGTAGTGATCAGGGAAGCATCCTCTTGGGAGTCGGTTCCACAAAGAAACGGTTCGTGGTAAGAACCTACTCGTGTGGTACTTAAATGTGGGTGGCTCACTACAATGTGTGTAGCATGGCGGATGTTAGCCGCGAAGGTTAGAATATGGTGGAATTAAGGAATGTAGTTCGTTTGGGCGCTTTCCATGGAAACAGCGATAGAGTAGTGTGAGGCTTTCAACAATTCGACTGTGAGAAAGAGGTTGTAGGGTGGGAAATAATTCAACCTCTATGAGAATATGGAGACGCTTCCTGGCTCTATCGCGACTAGAAAGTGAAAATTGTGCAGCTCCTGCTGCAGAAGTCCGACATTTTTTACCTGATCTGATGCACTTCAATTTTAACCTCTTTAACTCAATGGTCAATCGTTATATATCCTAACTATCCTCAGAATTTTCACTAGCTTCCTCTTACATTCATATCACATACTTTATTCAGTAAAACTCTACCTTGAGCGGCTCTCGAGCTTTGTACTGAATAGAAAAATTCAAACAATTTGATATTGTGACGACAACACGTTAGAGTTAGTGGACAGCAGGAGGAGTCAGGTACTTCCTGGAGCGGTACAGGGAACCGACCCTTTTTCCAGCATCTTTTGCGATGGATCGTATGTGGGAGTTCCACTTGAAATCTGGGATGAGTTTAAGTCCCAATAAGCGCCCGGATCCTCCTTGAGGAACGAGGCTTCCTTAAGG